GACTCCAGCGAGGCGTTTGAAGTACAAGGTTGTTAGCTGTGCAAATGGCGCCTTGGAGGGATGCAGCGCAATGATCTCCACTGAGAGTATTTGTAGGGATCGCAGTTCCGGTGCGTCCAGGATTCGCAGTCGTTTCAACTCCCAGTCACCCTCGGACGCCGCAATCGAAAGACGCTGTAGCATTGGAAATTGTGATCCAGCCAAAAACAGCTGGGCCAGCGTCTCCATTGGCACGCTTAGTGAGACGTCTCGCCAGCGAGATACCAGCGGGAGTAATGTCTGCGCCGTAATCAAGAAAGGCTGTCACATGAAGTGTAAGGGGGAGGACATTAGCGCGTGCAATCCATAGTTTTGTGAGATTAATCAGCTCAAAGCTGCTCTACGAATGTGCTTCCGTAGTCCGAGTTGTTGTCGTGGGACATGCGAGGCGTTCCGAGCAGCGCAATGCTCCCGGGTTAGGCTCCCTTCCCAGTTGTCGTTGGATCTAACGGGGATTTGGAGAGCCTCAGCAAACAAGAAAACGTTAACGATAGAGAGGACGAGGGCCTTGCCCTGGACCCACCCTGCCGGGGGCCTCTGCTCGCCGCAGGGCCCGCCGCTGCGAGCACTCTTCTCTTCCCTCCTCCCCTCTCTCACTTTCCTAGGTGCTCTGGAGCTTTTTATCACGTAGTTACGGCGCGGCCGGGGTTTTCCACCCGGACCCCACGCTGCCGCGGAGGCTTGCTGCGCAGCTCGTGAATTGATCCTGAGCTGATTCCCGAGGTCATAGGAAGCATGCTCGAGTGCATCAATCCCACTGATCACCCTTGCTTAAGGGCTGATCAGTGGGATTGGACTCGATCAGTAGGACTGGTTTGGGGTGGCCCAGTCCCAGTCCCACTGATTTCGTCACCCCTCATACTGTACTTGTCGATATCGCAGGCACCCACCGAGTGTACATATTCGTCTCCATAGTGAAATGCGAGGTGGACATTCAAAAGATCCAATGCAGGGAAGTAGCTGGCTATGGATGCCAGCTTGCTGCTAGTGTCGCACCCCTCTAGCACTGCAAGCGTCAGATCCGTGACTGCTCCAAGTGCGCGCGTGAGGAAGGGCAGCAAGGGCGAGCAGCAGGGCTGGCGTATCGGGTCCCAGTAGCGTGAGCTTGTCAATGTTGGCCAGCGGAAGAATAAGCAATGCCAGCTCAAGCGTGGCTTGTAACTGTGTCAAAGTACGGAATGTGCATGGCAAATCGCGGTCCGGAGGGGCTACCGGGGAGGGAATGTTGTCGGTCGTGAGTATCAGGGACTCCAGCCTAGGAAAGGCGGTGTTGAGCAAGGTGGCGAGTTCACTGGTCTCCGAGCCTCTGATACTAATTGTGAGGTGGGTGGTATTCAGGAATATCGGGAGTACGGCAATTCCGCCCTGGCAGTGTAATGCCAGACTTGGCGCTGCTGCTTCCCATCGTATCTGCAGCGCGCAAACGCGCTGAGGCTACAAGGTTCAGCCAGGAGCTCGGTTCGCTGCAGTCGGCGAGTATCAAGCTGCTGATGGATATTTTCTGGAGGAACATAGAGCTGGCGAGAGAAGGGGGGGATTGCACAGTTGATGAGGAACAATGTCTCGAGTGATTGTAGCTGGGCGAGCGCACCAAGCGCCGCGGGTCGTGAATTCTATCTGTTCAGCCTTGAAGTAGCGAAGATTGCCGAAGCGGGGGAGTGTCGTGAGTACGCTATGGAGCATAGAATGAATCTCGTCCTCGTCGCTGAACCTGACATCGCTGAATTTGTACGAATACCCAGAGTAGCAGCTAAGCAGGTTGACAGAGATGCACTTGACGTACGGCGCCACGCTATTCGACCCAAACAGTCCCAGTTTATCCTCCAACTGCTGCGTTTGCTCCGTCGTCAAAGGTATAGGGCAGGAACGAGAGGTTGGTGAGTAGGAGTGTGCGAGCCAAAGAGCAGAAGCGCCGCGATGCACGGGCGACATTGTGCAGGTCATCCCTTGACGCTCGTCGGAAGACGTCGAGGAGGAGCTCGTTGGGCAACACGGTTGTTAGGAGAGAAATGGTTGCCGCGTGAGAGCGTCACTGAGCGTGTGACAGCCGACTGGGATGCCAAGCCACTGCGCTCAACTTGAAAGACAGGTCTTGCTCTCAAGCTCCTTCTCCAGCTTAATACAGTCGGGTATCGGAGGACACAGTGCAGCATTCTGCGCTCAAAGGACTACAATGGTGCCCAAAAACCTTCACGGCCAACGTGTCCACGGACATGAATTTGATGGCTCCCTGTGCACGTGCATCAGCATGGTCCGTGCGCCGCCCGCCAAACACGGGTCATCGCCCTTCTTTTCCGCCCACTTTCCCCCCACACGGTCTGAGCCGACCTTGCGATTCTGCCCTCGGTGGCCCGCGCTGGTGTCGAGGAAGGAACAGCCTGCTTTCGAGGCAGGATGGACATGGGATCAGGCGCTTCAAAAATAAAATGTGGCTGGCGGGTGGGCGCCAGCGCACGCGGCTCCTTGTACATCGTATTTGTCCGTCGTCGTGGCACAATTTTTTATCTTCCTTGACCCGTCTCGGCGGGTCTCATGGTTGTCGTGTGCAGAGGGACAAGGTGTGTTGTGCACTTGATACTAGTAATTGGGGCTCACCCATTGTCAGTGTAATAGACGTTGTTGTATCCGTGCACTACTAATCAACATATTGCCAATTTTCCCCCCAAGAATGGTGCAGTCGCCGTTATTCGACCGATCCTCTGCGTCGTCCACTATGCGCTGGCATCTGGCTGCCAACAGCGTTGTCCCGCATCGGCGTCGCGTCTTTCGCTGGTAGGCACTTGCAGCGATGTTATACAGCATTTTGCGGAACACTGGCGCTTCCAGTTGATTGATTCCCGCGGTCGCCAGCTGACTCATCCCCGCATCTTGCTTCTCACTCTCATGGACGACCCGCCCTTCCCCCGCGAGATCGAGCTGCACATCTTCCGCGAGGCGGCGCTGCAGCGGCCGCGGGGCATCCCAGTGTTGATGCGCGTAGCGTGGTGGGTGAAAGAGTGGTGCGTCCGGCAATGCGTACTTTGGTCCGTTTCTCTCGCTGACCAGCTGTGGCCGCCAGTGTGGAGCCGCTGCTGTACAACGTCTTGAGTCTTCGGGATCCGGAGGCTGGTCCGACTCTCAATACACCATTCCCAGTCTTGTCGCCGTCTGCCTTCAGGGCGCTCATCGAAGACCCCCGCCGGCAGGCATTCATCGCGCAGTCGACCGGTCTGCGTCTCGACGGAGAGCTCTCCTCGTCTGAGACTAACAGTATTCTGAACTCCTGCCCCCACCTCCAAGATGTTGTCATTCTACCGCGTGGTCTCATATTTAGCACGGCAGACGTGCTCGGAACTCTGCCCAACCTCCGGCGGCTCACCACGAACCTGCTCTCGCTCTACATGATGACCGCATCTCCCGACCTCTCCGCGCTCACGCGCATCACACACCTCCACCTGTCGTTCTACCACCGCTGGCCGCAAGTCTGGCCGCCGCTTCTGGCGCTTCGTGCGCTGACGCATCTCGCCATCGATACAAAGGAGTGGTACCACGACATTCTGCAGAGGGACGCCCCACCGCTCGACATGTTGCTGGACGTGCTGTCGGATCCACATCGGCGGTTGAATGTATTCGTCCTGTCCTACCAGCGCGTTGGGAAGGTGCCGCTCGACGAACGCCTCATAGAGCACCCTGCGTGCCTCCTGGTCCACCAGGGGATCGGCTGGCCGGAGTGGCAGGATGAGTGGACAGGCGGCGCGACTAGTGCGGGGTTCTGGGAGCGCGTGGATAAAATGCTTGCGGAGCGTCGCTCAGCGGGCGCCCCAGGGAAATATGACAATGATTGGTAGTCCTTCTAGTGGAAAATATTCTGTAAACTATTGAATCGGAATCCTCCAAGTTATCAGTGCCTTCAAGTGCGTCCACTTCTCACACGGAAGCGTGTTGTCATATGCGCGTCTGTCACAGTCTCCTCAGTTCTGTGAAGCACACGAAATCAACCGTATGCGGCACACCTAGTACCGCGTCCCCGCAGGACATTATACGCCTCCGCAACCTCGTGGAACGCCGGCGTCGAAGGACATTATACGCCTCCGCAACCTCGTGGAACGCCGGGCGTCGACTGGTGGCCGGGCACGCCGGGGGTGGTGCCGCTTGCTCAGCTACACCTCCGCAGATAAGTCCCGCGCACGCACAGCCGACACAGCGGAGGGACCCACCGCGAAGAAGGCCGTCTGCCAGCGTGACCCTAACCCTCAACGCGAAGGCCTGCACCGTCCTGATGCCCCGCTCGACTCGCTCGGGGTCGTTCCCCGCTAGCTCCGCTCCGCGCAGGGTCCTGGGCTCATTGGACAGATGTTCTCCTGACCCGCGACGGCCCGGGTGGGGACCGCTTTGGCAAGCCATACCGTGGCTGGTGGTATATACTGTTCGTGCAAGGGCGTTGCTCCGTCAAGCCTAGTTCAGGAGTGAGCGAGCGGCCGGGGACGAGAGAATGATGTGGTGGAAGAGTGGTGCCGCTGGTGCGTTTCCTGCAGCTTCCTGTGCACTCGATATCCGACTTCCCGTCTCTGAGTTGGTTTTCCGATTTGCGATTGGAGATTCGGAGCCAGAAGGGGATCTCTGGTCATGGATTCACATCCTCGATCTTGCCATGCTGGTCAAGTTCACTTGGTGCATTGACAAGCGTCTGCTCAGCCTTGCCAGGTTGTCGCGCGAAGATGTCGTGTTCCCAGGGTGCGACATCTTGTATTGCGGATCCAGAATTCATTGGTGTTAACCCACTCTGGCATCGAGCAGCTGCCGCGCACCTTCCCGGGACTCGAACAGCTGTGCGTTCAGGTCATCGATGGGCCTTATAACACAGAGATGGCCGCGAGCGAGCCAGCTTGTGTGCTTCCGTGTGTGCGAGCTGACCACAGCCTGCAAAGTGTTGCCTGCAGTTCTCCCATGCACACCATTTGTGAACAAACTGAAGATTTGGAATGAAGCTGCCGGAGACTGCTGTTTACGCTCCAGCGCATCGAGAGGTATATTCCGCCCACGATAACTAACGTAGCATTGCAGTCGGATAATGGCAATTACTCCCTTTGGTCCGGGATCCTTGCCTTCTTCCCGAACCTGCGCACCCTCGATTTCCGTGTCAAAGAGTCCAGCGGTGATTCTCGGCCAAGCGAGGTGAATTCTGTCCTGTTATCTGCGGCCTTGATCCTATCAACACCGTTCTCCAGGCCCCTCACTTCCTCGCCAGCCTATCGACCATCCTTCCGCCCACTCTCGAAAGTCTCCGTGTCCATATTTGGTCCTCAAGGGCTGTCCTTCCCGGGGGGCAAACGGGAAGAGTGGGATTGAGCCGTCTTCCAAGCGCGGATGAGCTCCAGGCAGAACTACTGAAAGGGTGTGGCGGTCTACGGCAGATAGTTATCCGTGGGTCATTCCTGGACTTGCAGTGGACCAGCGATTGAATCTATCGCCGACTCGGACATGTGTTTGGACTCGTGCATGCCTAACTCGATAATATTTCTTTGATTGGTAAGACGACAGGGCATTCCAGCATGTTGTCGAATAGATATGACAAGCATCAAATGACCGTTGCCGAAAACACAGTCATGCGCGGGGGGACAGCTCAGTGCGGAAGAGCTTGCTGGTAAGTGCACGTTGAGTGGACGACAAACTAGAGGATCCGTAGATTCAGCGCGTTAAGTACAATTGTCGTGGGCGTCAAGATACTGGCGGCAAGGAAGCAAAAGCGCGGGCCAGTGTCGTTGACGTGTCGCGCAAGAGCCGGTCCGCGAGGCGAACGCGCGACCGGAGCTACACACCAGGGGATATATGGACCGGGCCCGAGGGCTGGATTTCTAAGGCGAAGGAAGAGCCGTGGGGGGTGGCAAACTTGTAGATGCAGCGCAGCAACGGCTAGCAACGGCGGCGGCGGCGCGGCGCAAAGCGGGTGGAGCAAGAAAGCTGACGAGCACGGGGAGTGGCATTCGACCATAGTCCTGGACGCACTGCCGGCCCGAGTTATGAGAACGAGCAGGGCGATGTCTGGAGTAGAAATGCACCAGAGAAATTGGGCCTCGGATTGTCGTTCGTGCGCGGAGTGGCCCGCAGGGTGCGCTAGGTATCGTCGTGCAAGCGCATCGTCGTCGTGGAGCGGAGGAAAGAAACCAGAGATTGATGTCACGGCCGCCGAGCCCGGACCTGATGCCGATCACCAGTGCCACGTAAGCAGCCACGCCTTGTCTTCTCCTTCCATGTGCGCGCGGGAGACGGTCCCGCCCCTGGTCGGAGCGCGGCACGAATGCTATGCTTGAGCCACAGCGCGAGTAGGAGCAGGGATGGGCTGCGACGGTCGATTTGGCGTGGCTTGAGGTGCGTGTTGTGCATTCAGTCTCTATTTCGCTGATCTACTCCCCAGTAATCCCTCACTTTTCGCTGGCGAGTCTGACACCCAGGGTGGCGGCCTCTACTGGGCGGAAACAAGCGGCGTGAAATCAGCCGCGGACGGCCCGGATGGCAAGCAGCAGGGCACAACCGAAAGGCGGGGACAAGGTGCGTGTGCTATTTCGTCCGCGTAACTGGGTCCTGATAGTCGCTACGCGTGTTCAAGTTTTTCACGGTGCGTTACCCATGTCTTGCTCATCACGCAGAGCCAATCGCTCATTTCACTAATAGGTCTACTGCCCCCACCGACGGCGCTCCGCCTTCCGCAGACACCACCGGCCCGTTCGCCGACGCTGCAATCGATTCCCATTCCACTCCTCTCCACCTGCCCCCATGTCCTCTCCAGTCCCCGTCTTCGACGCAAAAGCGATGCCCTTCCGCCGGTTGGGCCCCAGCGGTCTGCGCGTGCCGCTCTTCTCTCTCGGCGGCTGTCCGTCTTTGCGCATTCCCCATTGGCTTTAGCTGAGCTCTCGACAGGGCTCACCCTCGGAGGCTCCGTCGTCGGCGAGAGCGTCAAGGACATCATGCAGGCCGCCTTCGAGAATGGGATCAACATGTTCGACACCGCGGAGGACTACCAGAAAGGTGCGGCTGAGCGCAAATGTGCGTTCCCTGAGATTCCCTTCTGACCACGCTTTCTCTGACTCCAGCAAAATCAGGGGACACGCTATCAAAGAACTTGGCTGGCGCCGCACGGACCTCGTCATCTCAACCAAGATATTCTGGAGCCACGAGCCAGGCACGGGCCCGAACGACACGGGGCTGTCGCACAAACAGTGCGCCACCTTCCTTTCCTTCCTACAACTCTGACTGGCAACAGCGTTATCGAGGGCACGAAGGCTTGTTTGCGACGGCTCCAGATGGACTATGTCGACGTCATCTTCGCGCATCGTTGCGATACCACCGGTGGGTTTCTTACATTCGCCATAAGGAGGTCAACTGACGCAGGCTAGTTCCGATGGAGGAGATCGTCCGCGCATTTAACTATGTTATCGACCAGGGCTGGGTGAGTGGTGGATTTTGTCTATCCATATCCACTAAGATTCACACGCAGGCTTTCTACTGGGGCACCTCCGAGTGGAGCGCGCACCAGATCGAGGAGGCGCATCGTGAGCGTGTACCTCTCCCGAGACCTCCCGTCGCTTACCCGCAGCACAGATGTTGCCACGCGCTTAAACCTCATCGCGCCGATCGCGGAGCAGTGCAAGCACAAGTCTGCGCCATCTTCTTTCTTCCTTCGAAATAATGCTGAGGAGACGATAGCATGTTCCACCGCGAACGTCCGGAGAAGGAATACGCGTGCGTGGGCAACCATCAAACTTCAGCAGTAGCTAATGCTGACTTTGTAGCCCTTTGTACGCCAAGTACGGCCTGGGCACAACCGCATTCTCTGCACTGCAGGGCGGACTGCTGACGGGGAAGGTATATCCTCCTCAACCCTCTAACACGTAAACTAACTTTGCTAGTACAACGACGGCATCCCAGACGGCACGCGCCCGCCACCGTGCCCATGTTCCGGGGGGCGACGGAGGGTCCCCAGGGCGAAGAGCTGCTTTGGAAAGTGCGTCTCCTCAGCCAAATTGCTGCGGGTGCGTCGTTTCTCCCCGACTTGCTGAACTCTGGGCGGAACCGCGCTGGCGCTCGCGTGGGTTGCGGCGCACCGCCACACTTCCACAGTCATCCTCGGCGTGTCCTCCGTCGCACAGCTCGAGGCGAACCTCGGCGCGCTTGAGGTCCTGCCCAAGCTGGATGCTGCGGTGTTGGCGCGGATCGAGGCTGTGTTGGGTAACCACCCGCAGGAGCCGGTGCGTATTTCTCTATCCAATGATGAGGTGGATAATGCACTAATGATGTTGGTGTAGGAGACGTATGGTCGCCCGCCGCTGGATCAGGGCATCCTTTGACTCGGTGCAATATCACCCCTATCTTTCCTTTGACCACAAGATCAGCTCAAGTAAGGAAGAATACAAATGCCACTCATTCTCTCGTTTATCAATATTGAATATCTTTTGTGATCTGGTGTGCTCAATTCGTATGTGTCTATATCATGATTATGCGTCCTTTGTCCACTGGAGGTTGAGATGGAAGGGTGGTGCAAGTATCGAAATCCAGCTCAGATTGGGGCAACGGCGAAGCAGCTGCCTCCGTAGCACTTGTCCTGTCTGCATCACCAAGGTGTCGGACGAGGAACCGCTCCGGGGCCCACGGCGAGAGAACATACTCGTGTCCGAGTACTTGACTTCGAGCCGCTGCAAACCCAAGGGAAGACTAGCCGGGAAGCCCGTGAGGAAGGCGGCAGGCTGTGATAGTATTGAGTAGGGTATGGGCACAGTTCGGATGACGACACTTAGGAGACATTCACTTACGGCGGGCACGCGTCCGGACAGCATCGTTACGGTGAAGTCGAGGGTATGCAGGTGCGGAAAATGTGCAAAGACCGCGCCCCACACGGCAAGATCGCCGTCCTCCGAGTCGCATTCGAGGGTGAGTGTCGTGATTGTCACGGGGATGCACTGCCTATTGCGCTGCAGCACGGACACTAAGCTTGTGGCATCAGCGTTTTCGACATGCAATGTGTGGATAGACGGTGCAATCCGCAGGAGGAGGGGTAAAGCTTCACTGGCTTCATACGTGGTCGTGAGCTTGAATACAGCGGGAAACAACGGTTCGCCGCCGTTAGGGCCATCCCACGGCAGCCCCGGATCGTCCACATAGAGTGCCGCCTCGACACTAAGCTGCTCAACTGCGGGAAAGGCCGCTTGCAGCTGCACACAGCCAGAGTAGGTTAGCAACGCGCCGCAGCCCTCGGAGAGTCTAAGCGCCAGGTGTTTTACGTGAGGTAGCACACTCGTAAGCCCTTCCACTGGTTGATCCATGTCCAGGCTGACCGCGGAGAGTGTGATGGGCTCAAAGAGCGAAACCATTCTGAGAGCGTGCACGTGGGACTGTATGCTGCCGAGGTGGCGACTTTGACGCTTGAGACACGGATACGGATGTCGAGTGCGTTAATAGCGGCACGAAGGAATGCCTGGATCTCGGAGTCCACAGAACAGGCAAAGAGATCCAGCTCAATCGGGCCGCGGACCTGCGCAAGGTTGGCGAGCGCAGAGAGCGTGAATATGAGACTGTGGCCATAGAATTTGCGTAGGTTAACGAACTTGGAGATGCCGGCGAATAGCACGTCACAGATGGTGTGCGTGCCGGCTACATCGTTGAATACTGCGTCTCTGCTTCTTTCGGCGAAGCCATTCACTTCCTCCCAGGCGACATTGATGCAGTGCACATACGGCGCAATGGCGGGGGACATGAAGAAGGCCAGTTTTGCGATGGCATCCACCACCTCATGAGCAGGTGGGAGCTTAAGGATGGCGCCGCCTGACCAGGCAATGCGCTCCTCCGGGGGCGCATGTGGCTTCACGGCAAGCTTGCTGTAGAGGAATGGGCGGGCAAGCAGGCGCAGGCGACGAGAAGCAAGAGCGACGAGCTTGAGCTGGGCGGGCGACACATCTTTGAGCACTTCGTGAAAGAGTTCGTTCGGAAACATGGAGCGACCAGTTGCAGCCAAGCTGGAAGTGAAGAGAGGAAAGCGCTGCCACATATTGACAGCGCACACGTGTGCCCAGCCAATCGGCGTGCCCGGCGCGGGAGCTAATCATGATGTGATCGCCCAGTCACATCTTACGCAATCGCCTCCCCCTTTTTGTTCCTGACGCCCATCTCGACGCACAATGCCAGCCTTTGCAGCACACCTGCGGCGCCAGCTGGCGCAATGCTACGGCAACACTAACCGATACGCATGCGCCAACCACCCCTTCTCCAGTCGCCAACTTCTCCGGGAGTCTAAATCTGTGGCGACACTGTGCTGCTGGAGATCTTTGCCTGGCGTGTTACGCTGTCCTCGCTTTCCCGACATCGCTGACCGAGCGCACCTTTTTTACAAGCCCACTCTTATCCTAGCTTATTCTCTGTCTTCAGACACCAGTCATCAAATCGACCGTATGCTCTACCCGAGCAGGAATACTAGCAACTGCCTCGGATTTCCCAACCGAACTTGGACCGCTGCCCGCGGTATGCAAAATGTGGTCTGGGCCATACTGGATTCTCCTCCGCTGCAAGCTTGGACCTTGGCTTGTGCCCAACCACTGGCAGTCCTTTGATGCCCGCGCCGCAGCCACCTCAGCTTCCTGACGCCCAACTCGGTCAGCACCATCTTGCGCACATCGACAATGATCATCATCTTCCAGCATATGGACCTGCCGCTGGAGAGTGGTCATCTTCGGATTTGTTCCTCCACTCCGGTCCGGTATTTATACTAATAACTATGCAGCGTGTGTGCAACAGCACTGTCGAGGACACGAATTAACTCGTCTCGATGCAAAATGCCAGCCTCAGGGGCAGATCTACGCAACACTAGCCGATACACATGCCCCAACAACTCCTTCTCTGGATGCCAACTTATTCGAGAGTCTAAATCTGTATTGAGACTCTCCGCTGAGACGAAATTGCTAACACAGGACTTACACCGGCGCATCGATTCCGACTCTGTGGGTCCGGACTTGGCAAATCAAACGTCGACGCAACTTGAAAGCTCACGCTAACGGGTCTGCGCGCTGGCCATCCGGAGACGATCGTGCCCCGTGGTGCTGCTTGCCATCCGCCTCAGCGCTATGGAGGATAATCCGTACACCTGACACAATATCACACTAGGCGCCTGCCAGGCTACTCGATTCCGCGGATTGGTGGCCGCCGCGCTTGCGGTTGGCTTATGCCCAACTGTGGCCGGGCCGTGGATGCTATCGCTGCGGCCGCGTCAGCTTCCCCACGACGATCTTAGCTGCCGACCGGCGCATCGACATCAACTCGACGACGCGCCGCTGAAGAGCATCCTAACTCGGAGGCGTGTTCGAGCTGCCCTGACGTCATTGGCGTCTTCATCAAGATGTTCTGGAGCGGTGGAGCAACAACACGGACATGGGCTGTTTGCGCAAGCAGTGCGCTATCTTTATTCCTCCACTCTGCACCGGTATTCATGCGATGCAGCCCGTGGGCAACAACGCTGTCCATTAGCGCCTCCAAATGATGCGCGCAGCAGATTGACCTCGGAGAAGCCGCACTGTATACTTCTCCAATGCTCAGTGTGCTCTTCCACCTTATCGGTCTTCTGAAAGCACTGATCAACCGACAGTGTGTTCCACCATACTGCATCTGCATTCGACCCTCAAGCATCTATCCCGCGCGGCCCATGTTCTGCGGGATCACGGACATGCCGTCCGCGCGGCGCGGCGCACTCCTCAGCCCGCCGGCAGGTGCGTCGGGATGGGGACCCACCTGCGTACCGCTTTTGTTGACGCCGGTGGGGCACCGGACTGGTCCCGGGTCCTGCATCTCGTCTCCTGCCAGGGACGCTGTTCGTTAGCCCCGGGAGAGCGTCTTATGTGCCTTGAGCTGCTTAATTGCCAAATTAATGTGTGGATGCATCAATGGTCCCCGCGTGCGGCGACAGATACCAGCGGCGGAGCTAGCTCCACACGTAGCCTGTCTGTGTCCGAGTCGGACACCATCATCTGTCTCCTTCACTCCAATGCCCAGTGATCCACTGAGATCAGCACTGAAGAGCCTCGTGGATTTTTACAAAGAGATGTGCATATGGGCATGGTCTAATACCTCAGCTGCAGGAGCGGAACCTCAATCATGATATGATGCATTGACGGGCAGCGTGAGCGCAACTGCGCCAGCAGCCTGTCGGGGTCGGGCACCGCGAAGTTCGCGTTCGGGCAATCACTGTGTCCGCGTCGGACTGCCGGGATGACCTTCCCATCACACTGAGCCCTTTAAGTGTGGACGGAAGACGCGGAGGCAGTGACGCAACAAGGGCCAATACCTGCGACTTCCAGATCAGTGTAGGATACTGACCTATTTCATTCAATTAGGCGGGTCACGGTCACATCGGATTTTTTGGCCGAAATATTTTGGCGGGTCACGGGTCACAGCCAAATCTTTTGGTCCCAAACTGTCCTAATCGGGAAGATTTCGAAATTTTCGAGCGCCTGCGGCGCGCCGAACTTCCCAATCGGGTAATAGGTCACGCGAAATTCGGCCTGTGGCCGAATGGACATTTCGGCCAAACGGTCACGGGTCACAGGCCCGCTGAATTGATCGAAATGGGTCAGTATTCCCTCCCCCAGCTCCCCACACACACCAAGCAAGCAAGCAAGTAAATAATCACCACGACTCAACATTGAACTCCCCCACGTGACGGTGCTAGCCCAAGCCAAAGCTTTTGATACCTGATGTCACGCATCACACCAGACCAGTCTTGAGGCTTGGAGTTGGTGCAAGTCCAACCTAAGCTCAAGTTAACTTCAAGGCCCATTGAAACTGGGCCTGACCATAGTCATATGCCTGTCAGGGGAACCCCCACTTCGGCCTCCTTCAGACCATCCGAGCGCATCCGAGGCACATCCGACCGGCGCCCCCGGACGCTCCGACCTACCCCAACCCTCGTCCTCGGCCTCCTTCGCCCCGCACAATCACTGATCCGTCAAGACCCTCCCAACGATCACCTTGGGACAGAGCCTGCAACGCCGCTCAGCTCAGGCTTTCTGCGCCTACGTCGGCAGTTACGGACGACCAGTATATAGTTGGCGCCCTAGCAGGCAGACCCTTAGAGTTTCTTCTCTTTGGATCCTCCCCTGCTAGGTCGGTCCCTCCGTGTATTTCCTGTAGCTTTTATTCACGTCTTGGATCCTCCCCTGCTAGGCTTTCGTCGGAGTCTCCAGGGTTGCCCTTACAATGCCATCCAGACAGCTGGTAGACCGACTGTGCTATGCTGCTGGTTCGCCGCCTGTTAGTGTTACTCAGACAATTGCTGAGTAAGCAGTGTTCTGAAACAGTGTAACGCTGT